TTGCTCATATCTACCAAACATAATAAAAAACTGTTTGATCACTTTTTGGACAACTTTTAAAGGATTAATTGATTTTAAAATTTAATTAGGTTTTACACTAAATAGTATTTTTTCCCCTTTTTGTTTCAAAAGAATTAAATAAAAAAATTTTTTTATACATTTTTCTTCTTTGACTAAACAATAAGTTTAAATTTTCCTTAAAATATTTAACATTTTTGGTTTCAAAATTACATTTACATACAAGATTTTAACCTTTTGAGCGATTAATTTCTTGCCAAAGTTTTTTAGTTTCGCCAATGAAACCAAGATGGCAAAAATGTACATATCATTCTGTATCACCTCTCAAATTTACACTAGAGAGTGTAGGGAGTTCATAATTTCGTTTTGTATGTTCTAAATAGGATTTTCAACTACATCTTAATTCATTGGATTTTCTGTTTAAAAGTTAACATTTAAATTAAAAAATTTTTCACTGAAGTAGTTTGTTTTTTCACTTTTGTTTTCAATTCTTTAAAAGGATAGAATTCTCTTAATTTAAGATTATTCTAATGTTTCTAAATGGAATTTTTTCCCTTGCTTTGGGGAAGAGCCAGAATTTTTAGATGAACTATTATAATTATAATTTAAATACATTGAAATGGTTCATCGGCTGTATTTAGATACAGAAAAGCAAGGGTTTTTGTAGAAGAAGATTTTAATTAATTTCAAATCTAGGGTTCACACACTCTCAAGCATGTGCCATTTTGCAAGGACTCTTCCACCAGTAATCATATAAACTATCTTCTAACCAATGGAATTCATAAGAAAATTATCTTTCTGGTATACTGGTGGTACAGTCTTTACAAAATGGGATGTGGCTTAAGAGTGTGTGCAAATCCTGTAAATATTGTCTCAAAATGAGTGCTACATTTGAGGAAACTAAAAAATGATAATACAAAGTTGTGAAAATTTTAATTGCAAATAAAACAATTTTGATTGATATTTAAGGATTTTTTATTTATTTATTTTTTAGCATGTAATATAGCTTCAGGATTACATGCCAAGTTTTACAGAAGATTTTGATAAAGTTTTTCCTTATTGAGATGGGTTATTTTGCAAGAGTTGCCTATGCCTGACATCGTTTTCCATACATGTTTGTAATGTTAAAAATACACTGTCAAGCTTTTCTACTTCATTTGAAAACCGACTTCAACAGCATCAAGCAAGTTGACAATATTCTTTGTGGGCATCTGATGTTGCAGTGACAATATTGAGTTAAAAAACCCGAGATCAGACTATTTGAAGGTTGACATTGTAGTTGCAAATTCCATCATCTTTTAAACATTCTTCTATGATAGTGGGTTCATCCATTGCCAGATGAGGCTTGGTATTGCACTGTTGTATGCATATAAGACTCAATTTCTCACTACTTGGAAATTTTTCACGTATAGCCTGCAAAACATTTTCTTTCTTTTTTTTTTTTTAATAACTTTTGCCACAGTCTGCACAATTCTTTTTAGTTTCTTTTTGCATTTTCTGAATAAACAAAAGGCCATATTTCAATTTTCCATCAAACATTTTGTTTCGAGTCCCATCTTGATCTTGCCACCGCTGCCATAAACCTTTGGTAATAAACACTTTGTTTTGAAATGCTACACAGGTTCAGTTTCATCTAGGGCAGTCTTTCCCAAAGTGGGCGATAACGCCCCCTTGTGGGTGTTTGAGACCTAGAGGGGGGCATTAAGGGGCCCAGAAAACAATGAGGGGCGTTGACGTGGGTTAGGGGGCGATGGTAGATTTGTAATTTGATTTACTTTATATTTTAAATTTCACTAGAATTAAAACCTACCTATTACACAATAACGAATACTTAGTTTATATTTCTACCCTGTATGATGGTATAGAAACTTAAAATACTTATTATAGATTTGGTAGAATAGCCCGCACGCCGTATGCGCGTACGTTGTAAAATGACGAAAAGCATACAGCTGTGTAAATGCATGAATCGCCAAATGTGGCAAACATTCCGGGGGAAAAGACTAACTGCGGGCACTTAGCCGGTGCACTTATGTTGTGCTCCGTAGACGTACTGTCCGTTTTCGTTTGGAGAAACCTTCAGCGCTTTTACGCATGCGTCAGGTCTGCTTCGAGTTCATCAAAATAGGGTTGAGACAAAAGAGAAATGTTTACTTAACATGCGTGCTTCCGTGCTTCTGAAAAACCGGTCTGAGGAAAAAGTCCATCTCAGCGTATCGCCCCTTTTCAGAATAGAATCGTCGACAGGTGGCGGTTTTGCAATACGTTTAAAAACGGACTGTACGTGGTAGCAATCGGCTGGTTCATCGATACTTGTCCTAACTTGCTCAGTACGATTGAGCGTCGAAAGAGATAAACGAGTTTGTGCGTGTTTGTCTTATTCCTGTCGGTGCTTGCTGTATTTAAATCCTATATAAAAGCTCGTAATTTTTCTTATATTTTCATTAGTGGTTTCGCGCTATCTTTAAACGAGTATTTAAGTTCAACACTTTATTTACATATTTTTGAAAAAAAAAAAAAAAAAAAAGCCATGTCGCAAGCAAAAAAGAAGAAACGGCAATACAGTGCAGAATATATTAAATATGGATTCATAGAAAATTCGACAAACCCATCTTTGCCTTTGTGCCTTCTTTGTTCAAAAACATTTTCAAACGAAGCGATGAAGCCTTCAAGATCATTTAAATAAAATGCATCCAGATAAGAAGGACAAAAATGTAGCCTATTTTCAAGATCTGGAAAAGAAGCATAATGCTCAGCCAAGTGTATCGAAACGTTTTTCGATGGCTGCTAAGCAAGACGATGACGGACTTCGAGCTTCATACAATATCTCTCTGTTAATTGCTCAAACAGGTAAACCACACACCATCGGAGAAACGTTAATTTTGTCGGCGATAAAAGAAGTTATAACTACTGTGCTCCATAAAACCGGCGGCAGATATAATTCGAAAAATTCCTTTGAGCAATAATTCTGTGCAAAGACGAATTGATGAAATGGCTGAAAACATTGAAGAGTCATTGTGCAATCATCTGAAGACTAGTCAATTTTCAATTCAGTTGGATGAGTCCACTTTACCAACTAATGAAGCATTGTTGTTGTCTTACGTGAGGTTCATTAAAGATGAAAAAATATGTCAAGAACTTTTATTTGCTAGAAATTTAGAGACAGACACAAAAGGAGAAAACCATATTTAAAACACTGGAAAAGTTTTGTGATGAAAAAGGAATTCCCTTGAAGAATATTATATCAGCTGCTACAGATGGTGCTCCAGCTATGACAGGGTCTCAAAAAGGCTTCATGTCGTACTTAAAAAACAAAATTCCTGATGTGATTGCTGTACATTGCGTTATACATCGACAGCATTTAGTTGCTAGAAATTTAAGTGAACGACTGTTTCAATCATTGCAACATGTCATCAGAGCAGTCAATAAAAATCCGAAACAACTCTTTAAATGACAGATTATTTAATCAGCTTTGTGTTGCTAATGATGAAGATTTCAACAGATTGATCTTTCACACAGAAGTGCGTTGGCTATCAAAAGGAAATTGTCTGACTCGTTTTTACAATCTGTTTGACTCTGTCATAGAGTTCTTGGAAAACAAAGACACAGCATTGCGCGAAAACCTCATCACATCAAAGAATGATATTGCACATACCTGACAGACCTTTATACATTGTTTAATTGATATGAATCTCCAACTTCAAGGCGATGACTTGAACTTAATAAAAATAAAAAATATCATTGCTGCTTTCGTAGCCAAGCTGCTCTTACACAAGAAGAATATCGGCAGACGTGAATTCCATACTTTTCACAATTTATCAGTATCCTGCAACAACGACGACTTGCTCGTCTACTGCCAACATTTGGAAAATCTTCACAGTGATTTCATTAAAAGATTCCAGGACATTTTGAAATTGGAAATACCAGACTGGGTGTTAGATCCTTTTTCAAAAGTCAACACAGCAATATCACCCCAGCTGGAAGAAGAACTTATAAAACTGACAGCGAACGAACAAATAAAAAGCAAATTTAAAAATGGCTACTACTAATTTTGGCTACAAAAGTCAATTCTGCAGTTGTACCCTGGATTGTGGTCGATCGTTCAACAATTTTTGATATCATTCCAATCGTCATATTTGTGTGAACTTGGATTTAGCAATGTGACATCGCTGCTTACTAAAAAGAGAAATCATTGCAAATTACCAAACGTGGCGACTTACGACTGTTTTTGAGTAAAATCGAAACTCATATCAACAAACTTGTTAAAAATCATCAAATTCATCCATCCCATTAGATTAGTTTAAAAACTAAAATTGATTACCTATCTATATTGTTTCTTTTAATTTGATTAAAATATATTATTAATATTATAAAGTTTCGTTTTAATTGTTCTCACTGGTAAAAATTTCTAGTTTAGAATGTAAGTTTAAACACCAGAACCGAATAATAAAGCACACTATAACCTAAATTAATTAAAGTAATGAAATTGTGGTTTTTAAGTTTTAGGAGTGTATAAAAAATGGGGGGCAATGAAAAATAATTGATTTTTAAAGGGGGCGGTAGAAGAAATAAGTTTGAGAAACACTGATCTAGGGGGATGTAAAATGAATGACTGGTTTTCGTAATATAAAACCATTTTCCCTCCATATGAATACGATCCAACATTTCTGAAAAATATCCGTTAGTTAAATTATGATTATTTTAGATACATAATATTTTTTTTCATTATAAAATGAAATTCACTCTACATGGGAACCTCAATTAAAAAAATTTAAATATGAAAAAAGAATTAAATATTTTAAACATTGCAAAAAGTATACATGACATTTTTTAAACTTGGGCAAAGTATTTAATTATGTTTTGAATTTTTAATAAACTATCTTACTATATAAATGATTATAAAAATATAAATTTCTTCTCACAGTTTTATCAAAATGGTGAAATAGTCAGCCACCCAAGTAGCATGATAAATTGTAAAAAAGGTATTAAAAATTACAAATACTTTATTTCAAAACATTTTTACATTATTTAACAGTATAATTATATGCAAATACACAATGACTTAGATAAAATAATTGCCTTTATTCACATGATTAAACGTATTTGTCATTTTATATAAATTGATAAAATAATCTAGAATTAGGAAAATATTAGGAAATTTTCTGAGCTCCTAATTTTTTTGGCTTTGCTAGCTGTCGCTCTCTTAGCCTCTGTCTGCGTTTCTCCTCTCTAACAGTTCTACTATTTGCTTGCTTTTCAACAGGAGATTCTTCTATATTTTTCTGTACAGTACCTGAAAAGGAAAATGAATTAAATATGGAAATAAGTTTCAAACTTTTTATTGAATCTTATTTTTAATCATATGTTTATGTATGAGATTATGTCAATTGCATATATCACAAGTGTGCTACTTGCAAGGAAATACATCAATATTGACTTTCAGCTCACCGCTTATGAATTAATTATGGTCTATTTGGAAAAATTTTGGATATATTAAATTAGTACTTGGAAAAATCTACTTAGGCCAAGAAAAATTTTTAAAAGTAAATTGCCATTTACTTACTTACCCCAAATTACTCATGAAACAGCAATTCTCATAATAATTGAATTTCAATCATAGCCATTAATTAAGCAATTAGACACTAACAATATTATTATTCAAAATCATGAAGATGAACTAACTAATAATAACAATTGCTTATTAATATTTTAATATATATAACATAAATTGTTAAAATTCAAGTTATGCTATAGTAATACAATATGAACAACAGTAATACTGAATGAAATAAAAAATTTTTTAAACTTATTTGTATTCTGAAAATCAAATGCAATGCATGTAAATTCATAGTACAGTACAAAGTCCATAATCCAGAATGATCTATAATCCGGACCTCAAAGCCACAAACTTTTTTTTTTTGTATGCTTTACGCATGCATTGACGCATGTGTAAAGCATGTGTCAGGTTGGTTAACCAAATTAAAAAATCGCCATGGTATAAGACAAAAATTTCAGGTGAAAAAGCTTCAGCTGAAGCTGCTGAACAATTTGCAGATGAATTCATTGAACTCATTACTAGTGAACAATTATCTCCAGAACAAATTTACAACGATGATAAAACTGGTCTTTTCTGGCAAAATGTACTGCGAAATACCTTGGCAACCCTCTACAGAAAAGGCTGCAACTTAAAGATTCCAAAGCGAGACTAACAATTTTAGTGTGCGCAAATGCTGTAGGTACGCACAAGTGCAAACTTTTCGTAACCGGAAAACATGCACGACCTCGAGCATTTAAAGGAGTAACGATTTTCAACGTTATACATCGCACAAATAAAAGAGCATGAATGACACAAGCGTTGATGAATGATTGGTTTGAAAATCATTTTACACCCGAGGCGACGTTTGACTTCGGTTAAAATGATGACTCAAAAATAGTCCTGATTGTTGACAACTGTTCAGCTGATTGCTGACTTCACTTAAAGTTTTGGTGAAAGATAATGTATCTGTATTATTCCTCCCTCCAAACTGTACATCTATCATTCAGCCTATGGATATGGGAATGGTGCATGTGCTGAAATGCAAATATAAAGTAGCATTTTAAAAATCTATGTTAAATTTCTTGAACGATTGGCAAGACTATTCAAGGCTTTTTGAAATTTTATTTCATAAATTACGGTTTCATATTTTTAATTGTATAATTTCTTCATGGCATCTTACCAGATTTAAATTGATGATCTATAATCCGGAATCGACGAAGTCCCGACGAGTCCGGATTACGACTTTGCACTGTATATTTTGGAAATATCACCACAGTGAAGAATATGAAGCATTTTAAACTATACCATTGAATATATATTGAAGTTCTGATATGATTTTTAATATTATGACATGTCTGCATTTCTTTGAATTTATTATGATTAAATGATATTTAAAATTAATCACTACACCATATATTATATGGAAAAATTATGGGTTAACTTAAAATAAATATTAATTATTAACTTTATACTTTCTATTTGTTCATTCACACACATGGACAACACATAGAAAAGCATGTATTGTTGGTTTATCACTCAGTGATTTTACTTCTTATTGACAATAGACAAAAATTTCAAGAATTACAGGTCAATGTTAATAGTGACATCAAGTTTTTAATCAGCATACAAAAAATGCAATAGTGCATTTCAAAATGACATATTGCAAATAATGTCCGCGTTCAATATAACAAAAGTGATTTAAAATTGGAGGGGAGAGGAAACTTACTTTGGGATTAATTTTGAGTAAATCTATGAATTTGGTACTTTTCAGTTAATGGAAGGGAACAGCTTTTTAGTGCTAAGTATAAATGTTCGCATGAAATCGAATTAAGTGGCAACAATTCTAATGATATGGAAAACTTCATGAAATGAATGACAGTTCTATTAAATCTAGAATAAAGGCAAAAAAATAATACAAAATACATTTTACCAGATTAATTTCGCCAATTTATCTGTTTAAGCTGTAAAAAAACATAGGATAGAGATATTTCTGGATTGATGTTCATTCTTCCTGCTTATGGCACAGCTATTCATGATGCAATATTAAGAGCTACTATATTTGGTACTTCAACAAGTGGCAAAGCACTGTAAATTTTCTTTAGTGTAGTTTTTTAATAAAACTCTTTTTATCATTTCAATGGATATCTTTTTTCCCCCTTTTTAGTCTTGAAGAAGACAGATCTGTATCTGAGTGCCCTTGACAATTTCATTCAAAATCTATACTTCCATTTTCCAACTTGATAAATATGCTTTAAGGTATCTCCACTATTACTCACATAAAACTACCATATGTTATGTTGTTGCACTTAAAATGTTAGATTTTGAATTTTTCATGTTATAAAACACCACCAAATTACATCAATGCACTACAAGAGTATTAAAGTTTAAATGTCTCAGCATGAGATTAGGAAATCACTTGAGTTTTTGATTGTTATATGATCAGATAAACAACACATAGAAACAAGGCAAAAACTGATGCTTTCTTTGCAGAGTATAAACTTGGCCATGAAACAATGAAGGCAGCTAAGAGTATCATCAAAGCACTTGGAACTGACATGAAGAATGTAAAAATCATATATAGCACAATGTCTTAGATCCAGGATGTTTGAAACTTGGCCTATCCTGCATTTTTGATATTTAAGGATTTTAGATCATCAGTTTAAATCTAGTAAGATGACATGTAGATATGGCAACATCAGGGCTTCACTTATTGTTTAGGCCAGACAGAAAAATGCTACCCCCAACAGGGCCAGTGCCAGAGCAGATGCAACTGGTACAGTCATACCGGGTGTAAAAAATTTTAAAAATTAGAAGAACATCAAGCAGAAAAAAATAGGGATGAGAGAATTTTTAGAATTTACTGACAGGCAGTATGAAGAAAAATTTAGAGACATTGAAATTTTTAGAATTTAAAACCTGAAGAGACTACACCAAGTGGCAAAATGTGTAGCGCCATCTCTATCACAACCACTCAAAGGCCAAAAGTGTGATCCTGACCAATATCAATACAACATCAATCAATGCATTCTCTTGGCTACACTGTGATTCCTTAGCTATTGGGAGTTTAAAAGTGACATGAAGAAATTTCAGTTAGTCCAGAGCAAAATCCCATTTATTGCATATTCCTAGATTTTGTAAGGGCAATTTGTTTTATTAGCTTATTTTATTTACATATTTATTTGATCATTCTAGATACTGGGCATCCAGATTTTGGACTTTATATGGAATCAATAGTTAAAAATTTGGATCCAAATATGATCCTTGCAATTTAACATATTAACTTTCCAAACCAAATACATTTTTAACTGAAATATTAAAATTACAGAAGATTTAGAAATTGTCAGAGGTCTGCATTGCAACACAAACCTTGCTTCCAATACACCATCTTCTGGACCTCGATTTTTAAAAATACACCTATCCTACAAAATGTTACAATACAAGACAGGAAACTTGATTGAGCCATTCATTTGGATTCCAGTTGATGGGCTCTCTGTGAAAACTCTTACCTTACTAATGTACAAGCATGGTTTTTAGTGTATCAAGGTAGAATATTTTATTTTTTTTTTTGTTTTTTAAACTCATTTTAACCACAAATGCCTTTTAATTCTTCAATAAAACACCTTGAAATTTAATGGAACAGTACTTATCCTGCATGGTTTGCACTTCCACAGTAGACTTATTTTGACATCATAATTTGATCAAATTCAAATTTCTAATGATCCCAATCAGAAACTGATATAGTAAAGTAAGATAAGAATAAAATACACAATGTTCATTCAAAACTTTTATAACTGTTTTCGAAATGCTAAATTATATACAATGAAGGGAAAAATTAAAGGAACAAGTATTGGATCATAAAGTTATGTGGTATTTCAAATTGAAGCTTGTTTTCTTATTATTTTATTAAAACAGTACAAAGTCTGTAATCCGAACATCCATTATCTGGAATGATCTATAATCCAGACCTCAAAGCCACAAACTTTTTTCTTTGTATGCTTTACGCATGCATGTTTAGCAGAAAAAATGAAGCAACTTAAACAACTTAAATTGAAAGAAATGTTTAATAAAGTAAACAAATAAATATTAAGCTTTTTTTTTTTTTGTAAATTTTGATACCCTTTAGATCATAATTGCTCTTTATTTCATAAATTAAGGTTTCATATTTTTAATTTTATAATTTCTGCATGCCATCTTACCAGATTTAAATTGATGATCTATAATCTGGAAAAAACCCTTAATCTGGAATCGCCGATGTCCCGACGAGTCCGGATTACAGACTTTGCACTGTACTTGACTGAAGTGAAAGGGCAAATATGGGCTTTTCACACTGTGCAATTCTAACAGCCCACACAGTGGCATATTTTTTTTCCCAGTGCAGTGCTACATATGAAAAGGCCCAAACTACCTTTCTGTTTAATTATGATATTTTAATTTAAAGCAGGGAAAGAAATATTAGTCAAGACTACTTGTAAAATTTGTGCCACATATGGGTATTTAATGCTATTTTTGATGGCATAGTTAAACGGTGGTTTAAAAAAAGTTTGAGAAGTTTGAATGCTGAAATTTCAGCTTCAAAGATGATACTTGTCTGGATGATCAACCTCTGTCAACAAAAACTTATCAAAAAAGCTATATCTAAAAATCCCCCATTATACAGTTATATTACATATTCCAAAATGTACAGCGCATGTTCATTTAAAAAAGATTTGGATTGTATGCTGCTATGATGGTTTGGGTAACCTATACTATTTCAGAGCAGAATATGCTTGCTTGAATTTTGGCATGTGATTTTTTGCTGAAATGAAATAAAGAAACTCCATTTTTTAAAATGCTCATTACTGAAGATCAGAAACTGATGCTGTACAATTATGCTATAAATCATGGAGTAAACCAAAAGAATCTCCTTTAGTAATATCAAAAATGAAGCTGCATCCCCAAAGAATATTGCATTGTATATGGTGGGGCAACAAAGGAATTGTAAAACATGAATTGTTGCCAGTAAGCTGCATAATAAATTTGGAAAAATACTTCCCAAATGGCAGTTTTTAAAAGTTTCAAGTTAAAGTTTTTAGACCTTGCACATGCATAATATCAGTAGAATACAAAGAAATAAAATCTAAAAATGGCATAACTGCTTAAAAGCGTATATTAATGGTTTCTGATACAAATATATTTGAAAATTTCTGCCCTTTAACATGTGTCAGAATTTCTTAATCACAGAATAAATTGAAAATAATTCCCTATCATATGCAGACCATTTCTAATGACTTTTATTCAGTTTCATCAAGAAAAATGCTATAGGTTCCCATGTTTGTTTAGATAACTACATATAAGTACTGCCTATTCCAACGTCTGAAGCATCTACCCAGATGCTTAACTGGGCTTCGAGAACAGGGTGTCTCAAAAGGCTAGCCTGAGCAATGGCATTTTTTGGCAGCAATAAAGGCTTGTTCAGCATTTTCGATCCGTAAGAATTTTCCATTTCGTAAGAATGATATATTTCTTGTTAATGATATGTCCTTCTAATAATTTTATTAAAAAAGAGAAAGGCAGCAATAAAGGCTTGTTCAGCATTTTTGTTCCAATTTAATTGTGAGGATGAATCCTGAACACGAGAATAAAATTTCTTGTTAATGATATGTTTTTCTAATAATTTTATTAAAGGAGAGAAAAATCTGCTTTAGGTGTGAAACATCTACAGAAGTTAAACATGCCTAAAAATCGGTGAAGTTATGTGACAGTGATAAGAGCAAAAACACTTTCACACACAATAAACCATAAGGCTGGGTCTTGTGCCATTTCTCGTACAATTGATCAAACTATTGAGGATAAATTGCTTAAAGAAATTGAAAAATCAAACATATTGATAGTATTTCCCTTTCTTGAGGTCACTCACCAAATCTCGGAGATTGCAATAAAGAAGTAGTTCCAAAAGAAGAGATTATTGTATTTGCTCGAGGATCATAGATGTTTTGGAAGCAATTGTAGAGAGCACAAGTGTATCAAACCTTGTTCGTGGCAGGGAAACGAAACCAACAAAGAACAGAGATTTTTTGCCTCAAATTTCATGTCGCCTGTTCATTTGTAACCAAAGAACAAACGTTTCATTCTTGGTTGATACGGGCTCTGATTCACAAAAATGTAATTGGCTCCAACAAACACTTTTTACAGCTAATTCTTCAATTATTCAAGTTTATGGTAAAAAAACACTTTTTTTTTTATTTTTTATTTCAAACTGAGATAACAGTTTACTTGGACTTTTCTTAAAGCAAATGTTAGTACACCCATTTTTGGAGCAGATTTCCTCCACTTCTTTGAACTGGTGCTTGATTTTGGAAACAAATGTTTCAAAGATTTAAAAACAAAGTTTCAAACTATAGGGTGCAGGAAAAATGTAGATATTTATTCAGTAAAACCTGTCTTTAGTCATACACCTTATCACAGAATTAAAAAAAAATTCCTTCCATTACTAAATTCACAACACTGTTCATTACATCATAGCTGGTTGCAAAACCTCATGGGTTAGCCCCAAATTGTTAAAAAAATAGCAAAACAAGAATTTCAAAATATGATGCAACTGGGACATTTAAGCCGTCGAGAAGCAATTATGCATCCTCACTTCAAATGATTCCAATAAAGGGAACTTTAGAATGGAGACTTGTAGGAGATTATGGTGCGTTGAAAGCACAAACAATAAAAGATAAATACTCTATTCCATGCTTGGCTGATTTTCCTGCTGCATTGCACAACACTCAAATTTTTAGTCATGTTTACCTGATAAAGGCATATCATCAGATACCAATCTACCCCACTCAAATTCAAAAAATAGCCATATGTACATCATTCGGTTTATTTGGAAGTACCTGTACGCAATTCAGGTTATGCAACACATTCATGACTTTTCAATGTTTTATAGATGAGGTCACACAAGATTTAGAAGGTGCTTATGTTTTCAGTCACTGCTGATAGCCTCTAAAGATTCTGAGGAATACAGAAAGCATCTGAAAGCTTTAGTTTCAAAACTTCAGGAATATGGTCTTTGTGTAAATATTTCAAAATGTACCGCTGGCCAAACATCTATAGATTTTTTAAGTTTTCCCCTTAGTGAAAATGGAATTGAACCTCTTCCTGACAGAGTCAGATGTATTTTAGATTTCCCTCAACCTACTGATCCTAGCAGTTCATATCATATTGAATATTCTCATTGTATAATCAGACTTTAAGCATACATAATACACAACAAAAATTACTCTTTTACTTCAGGAGCAGAGATGTGTATGTTCCCTCGATAGCTGGTCTCTATTCTCTCTCTGTGCTTCTACAAAAACTTCTCCTTAGGGCTGCCATATTTATCAGTATACACACACTCCTTATTGCTATCACCGCAGAGTTGATAGGTTATAAACCGGAATTTGAACGGCATGTACATCAGACATTGTGCAAAGTTTAAGCCAAAATAAAAGTAAAAATTCTACTCATGAAAATGAAATAAGAATGATAAGTAAAAGACAAAATTATAAAATGAGTTATAATTACTACTCATCTGTGGTTCGGAGAATGAAAATCAATGTAATCCATAATTTTTTGAAATGACCAGTCGTCAAAAACGAAAGTACAGTCAAATACCGAAAATCCGCTGACCTGAAATCCGCCGACTCTTGAAATCCACGTTGCCTCTCAGAATATAAACATTCAGTTTATAGGTTCCAGAAAATGCAACACTGAGTACGAAATATCAAAGAAAAAAAAATACTGACTGAATAATGACATCATAATTACCAAATAATAATGAGTCAAAACGGAAATACCAAATTATTGATACAAAAAAGTTTAAAAAAATAAGATAAAATAAATAAGATAAGTTTTTTTCCCCTCTAATCTGCATCGAGGTAAAAAAGCAGACAAGTCACTCAACTCTTTGTTCAAGTTCACAATTCACATTGTATTTTCTGAGCTTTGTCATTTAATTTCACGAGATTGTTTAGTGCTGCCTTTTTTTATCAAGATATTTTGTGGATAAATTAAGAATATTTTTAATTTCAGTCATTTTTAATACAATGACAGATAAGAAACACACTCGTGATTTTACTGCTTGCAACGTTGAAAAACGTAAACACGTTGCACTGATGGTAATGCAAAAAGTGCAAATTCTGCAAAAGATGGAAGCAGGTGCTACTCCTCGATTTATAACAGAATGCTATGGAATTGTGATACGATTATGTATGATATACAGAAAAATAAAGAAAAGCTGTTGAAATTTTACAGCAACAGTGATTCTAACACCGGAATCTGAAACAGGAAATCTTTGCATGAGGCGAAATTGGCAAATCTCGATGCTGTGTACATATAACACAATGAATAATATAATCAATTTATATATGTAATAATAATTTAATGCATATAATAAATTATTGCAATAATGTACATAATAATTTAATTAAATGTATCTAATTCTATCTGGAATTCTACTGTACTACTTGCCATATTTCACAAAGCCTCTTTAGTGAAGTCCAGATGTCATCAAATGTGGAAACCCATGGTGTTATCTACTGATCCCTCTGGCTCATATCACATTAAATATTCTCACCGAACAATCAGACTTTAAGCAGACACAACAAAAATTAATCTTTTATTTCAGGACCAGATATGCAAATGTTCCTTCAACAGCCAGTCTCTATTCTCCCTCTGTGCTTCTATAAAAACTTCTCCTTAGGTTTGACGTATTTATCGGCAGACACACGGGGGCACAACGCGCGTTCCTTTGCTATCACTACATTCCTTTGATATGATGGGTAATAATACATTCCTGGTTTTTGCTATATTCTCAATGAGATTGTATAAGCTAATTAATTCACATACATCTCAATTCTTGACACCTGGCAATTAAACTTGTCTTTAAACTAAACGCTTTTATCAATGTTTATATACATCATGCAATATCTGTACTATAATTTTAGTGAAACAGCAAAATATACACTTTGGACTTTGGAAACAAGCCTAAATATGATAAGATAAATAAATTTAGAACTCATGCAAAATATTTTCAGATGTATTCAAGATGAATCTGTAGAATAATTTACTTCTCGAAAAAGAGATCTGTATCAGACTCTTTCAAAATGGACAAAAGCTTTTCTCTAAATTGCCATAAAGAGTTGAATTCTATTTAGTTTAACAGGGAGGCATATATTATGGAGGGAAGGAGGCTAAAAAACCCAATCATGTAAAAATAATAAACGGACTGAGAAACTCAAAAAGAAATTAGCATCACTTAAAATTAAATTTTCATTACATTTGAAAGCAGAAAAGGAAACATGTATATTTTTTACTTTTACTAGATTCCCATGTTTCCCAGTTTTCAGATGAGTTCCAGTCATCATTGCCAGGAGAAGGCTGAGATTCATCTTTGCTTTTGCTGGCCTGTTTTTGAAGACTAGCAAATGGATCTTCTTGTTCTTCAGGGAAGAAATTCCTCAGTTTTTCTGCATTCTACAAATATTAAATTACATATATTTTACAGATTAGAAATTTGGAGAAATAATAACTATTAATCATTAAAGTTGTGCAAAATACTGTGAAATTAATTAAATAATCAATAATGAATGCAAATTAAATCTTTTCAACTAGCAAACTTACTAACAGGAACAGACACAAAAGCAAATCAATACAACAATATTAAATAATACACAGAAATAAATATTATACAAAAATTCCTTGATCTTTTCCAAGAAGAGGACAAATGAAATTTCAACACAGGAGAAGATTAAATCTTGGTGAATGAATTCAAATAATAAAAAAGTTTTCCTTACAAAAGTAAATTCTTTATTGACTTTATGTTGTTTAATTTACCTTAAGTTATTTAATTACTTAAGCTTTCTTTATTTCAACTATTGAAGCTATTTCATAATTAATGCTTGTCATTTGATTCATATAACATACTGCTTACATAATGCTCCAGCCAACAAAAATTAAAATTAAAAGTCATACTTAAAAGTCATTAAAAGTCATTGTCTTAATCAGACAATAAGGATGAAGTAAAACCATAACTGTAAACCATTCTTTACTTAAACTTAAATATGTAATATACCTCTTTCTCCTCATACTTGTACCACTAAAATGTAATCTGCTGCTATCTTTCTTATTCAATATGCATTATTAAGATAAGAGAAGAAAAAATGCATCGATTCAAAAATGGATCCACATACTGCACCAGTCTAACTCCATTCATAAAAAGAACTATTAAATCAGTCATGGCAGTTGCTACCTCTTTATGCATGAGGTCTATCATCATATTCTTTGTTACCAATTTTCATTACACTCACACCTTTATAAGAAAGGTGTACAGTGCAAAGTCCAAAATTTGGATGTCCAATAACCAGAATGATGTGTTACCCAGACCTAGTGTAGATTATTTTGTAATTTTTCCCTCCCTCATACAGTGTAGAAATGAAGAATATGATGCTTAAAGAAAAGCAAGCCTGCTGTAAAATGATTTTTCCCCCCCTATTTAGGTGAGATTTATTTTGGTGAGAAAGATCATTATTTAACACAGTACTAAATTGCTTCTCCATTAAACATATGCTGACTAGTGAACAAGATTTCCATTTCAGCATCTGAGTTGCTGTGGGGAGGGAGAAGACATAATTTTTCAACCTTATCTAAACCTGTACATACTGATCCTTTTTTGTTAACACAGCAGTGATGAAGGAAGAAAATTAGATTTCATTGAGCTCAGATAGCACTGTGAATTATGCTGTTTCTTATTTTTTTTTTTTTTTTAATTTTAAGCCACTTATTATTTTTTGCATCTATTATTGTTTATCTTATCAAAATTACAGTTTTAGTAAATGATAACAAAACTGTTTCTTTCTTTTCTTGAAACTGTACATCTGTCAATCACCACAAATCGAAATATCGAAATTTTGTTTACTCTGAAATGCACATATAAAACAGTCTTTTAAAACTCAAAGCCACACTAAGACCATCTGTGAAGTTTTTAAATATTTTAATATAAACTATGGTTGCAAGATTATGAGAGGACTTGTTTGCATATTTTTTAAAATACTAATCATAATGCACAGCCAACTATTAAAGTTATTGATAATAATAGCCATGAAAAGATTTGAACTGATAGATTATTTAGTGGGAATTCTTGATGCAGTAGTTATGGGACATGAACAACAGAAGATTAACTTGACAAATTATGTACTTTATTAACATAAAAAACTAAACAATTTATATTGAAAATAATGTTTAATACAAAAAATTGACATTGACCTTTTTAGTCTAAATTTTTATCTCCTTAAGGTTATAAATATGTTCCATTATTTCACAATCAGCCATTCATACAATTGATGAAATAAAACCTGGAAATTTCTGAAATCTGGAATTGTCGAAATCCTGATCACTCCAGATCTTGAACTTTGCACTGTATAGATATATATTTATGAGAAAGAAATTAAGACTTGAAGAATAAAAATTTAACTTTTCAAATACATTACATAAAAACTAGAATAAAAATTTAGCTGCAATATCCGAATTTGTATGATGAAAATAAAAGTTTTGAAATTGATTTAAAGTAACCTAGCTGATGTATTTCAATCAAGTCAGTAGAAATCCATCTTTTATCCCCTCCAAAAGGAATTTGTTAGCTCAGTACATCATGCAATCACACACACACAAAAAAAGATTTCGAGAGAGGATTGGCTAAATATTTAAGATTGGAAAAACTCCATTATGTACTTTTTTTTATTATACAACAATAAAATCTGCAAAATATAGTTTAATAAGATAATAATAATTACATACTTCATTAATAATATAAATGTTTTTATTTACTTTTAACTAAAAATAACAAAAACTGTAAAAACACAATTTATGAAATAAATGATGGAATAAATTCAATATTTTGATTACATGAAATATATTTTTGCTACTTAATCCATCCACTACTAAGAAATGCAAAAAAAAAAAAAAAAAAAAAAACACCATAGAGAAGAAAATGGAACACAGACAGAAACTTGCATGCTGATATTATTTTGGGCATAAAATGATGATTTGATTTTGCAACTACCTCTTTTCAACAGCATATTGTTATAAAGATACTAAGACTAAATTTTAATGATTTTCTTGCTTTTAGAAAATTTCCAGTTAAATTACAACTACATAAATTCAGAATTGAAGTTAAACTACAATATTTCCACCTTCATAAACATACACAAAGATCATGCTTAAATGATCATCATACTTTAAATCATTACTGCAATGTACTAACATTTTGAGACAAAATAAATAATATTAAACAAGATGGCTTCAAGTTCAAACATAAGTTTATTCAGATGAAATAGCCCAAATTTTAAATTTTTGCAAGTGAAGCTGTAGAACAAAGTGAAATACAGAAAATATTAAGCATAGAATGGTGATGAGGTACATAGGCACAATAAAATATGAGAATGGAATAAAACATTTGGCTGTACAACAGTGAAATAAAGATGTAATACAAAGTAACAAACAGTAACAAAAGAAGATAGCAATCCATGCTTATGAACATCTAGCACATGCCTAATCTTTAAAAATCTACAGATAACATGTCATCGTTGTACAGAACAAATATAGATGTTTTGGAAGCTTTAATGCACTTCATTGCAAATGGAATACAAAAATGGCATTGTTCATGTGGATTTTCTCTTCTATGGTTTCATCATAAAAAGTGGTTAATACTATCAGATTCTCAAAGATAGACAAATGCTATGAAAGGAAAAACATTTGACGTGATCAAGGAAAACACTTCATGTTGTTTCTGCAGAACAATACACACCTACACTTGCTCACAACACAGCTTGGAGCATACAGAAAATTTTGCTAAAGTTACCATTGCATATTCTTATAGATTGCTCCTAGCTATTTTCACATTCAGTTCTTAAAAGAGCATTTTAGATGCTAGTATTTTGTACTGATGATGATAGTGGCTAGAGCATACTGTTATTTCCAATCGTCTACAACAGCAAATTAAAAAAGTCCCAGTTTGACTTGCACATACTTTATAACAGCTTGACAATTTAACAGAGAAACACATTTTGCTATAAATTTAATACATAAATAGATAATTTTAATGAAATTATATGTGAAACTGTTCTACTTTTCAGAATAATGTAACACGAAAAACTTGACGGAAATGCTGCTCTGCCAGAAAAATAAGACTACAGGGGTAAGTTTGAAAACACTGAGTAAATGACTATCTCATTAATTTGGCAAGTTATCCCCAAGCTGACAATCATTTTAGTGACTAATTTTTACCGCCAAACTTGGCAACATTTTGATTCAATCACCATATCATGGTAATGGGTAATTGTAATTGAATAACTATAACTAATTTTATGTGCAACTCTAACCATATAAGGTCCTCATATGCCTTCCAGTAATTTCGAGAAGCAAAAAGTACTAGAAATCTCTCGGTGACCAGGAGAAAACTATATAAGACTGAGAAGATCATCAATTTCTCAGTTGTAATGTTTAGTTCAGCTTAAGTTTGGAGTAGTGAGATATCTCTGTGTGAGCTTTCATTTTAGATGTACTTTGCACTGCATTGTGTTTAATGCTCTTAGAAGTTTGCAGTGTAACTACTGAATGAACTCTGTGATACTGTGAAGAGCTGTATGACTATTTTTGTGGAAAGTTCCAGAAGTGTGAAGTGTTTCATTTGGTAAAATAAATTTTATCAAGCTATTACAAGCCTGTACGCACACAACAATATTCTTTGAGTCTATCATTAATGAATGAATTTAAATCATTTATAAGGGCTATTTATGAATAAATTATAATTATTTAGAGTACAAAGTTAAATCTATGGGCATAATATTAAAGCGTAAGATAATATACAAACATTTTTATGCAATTCAATGAGCTTATTCCTTTTTTGCCCAAAAATTTTAAATAGAATCTCTGGTAGTAGACTAAATCTTGCTACAAGTTACTCACATTCTATATGGGATATAATGGAATAGTAAAAAAACTCCAAAAATATCATAGCAATTTTATGTACATTAATTCAAAATAATTTTCTTAGTGCAAAACTGTATAAGTATCCACTTATTGTTCAAAAACAGTTTTACATCATTAGAAAATATAACATACTGAAGCAACTTTTTTGGATATGGTTAGGTTACAAAATATAGCAATTAAAAAATTTGAATTATAATATATTTCAATAAACAGAAAACTATAAAGAACCACTTTCACAAAGAATTAGAAACAGTGATTAACTACTCTGAACCCAAATTTATTGCATTTATTACATCACACACAATATGTTCATACGATAAACTCTTACTTTAGCAATATTTGTTTCAGTTTCAAAACTTTCCCATTCATCTTCCCATTCATTTTTATCAATTTCATTGTTATCCAGCTGTTGCTCCTTTTCTTTCAGATCCTTTAAAAAAGTGACTAAATTAAAATAGAAATTTCTAAAGTATATATATTTAAGATTTTAAAATCTCAAATGACCCCCCACCCCCCAAAAAAGAATAGTGGACTCTTTTTTTGGGGGGGGGCAACATATATGTAACTAAAAAACACATGGCAGGGAATTTCTCACTTAATTGGATAACTTTTTCAAAAATTTTGAACAATTTTTATTTTGTCTGGTGCTTTTCCGTGAATAAGAATATAAAGGACATCAGAAATATCTATTGCAGGCATAATAAAAAGAGTAATTCACTGAAGAAATGAATTGTTTATTGAAGTTATATAGCAATGGAAATTCCTACTATTGTTTTATCAAACTTTTAAACTTCTTATTTTCACACTTTACAGAAATACATTAGGAAAGTGTTAATTCATATACAAAGTTCTATTTTCAACTTAATATATATATATATATATTATATACTAAAATTATAGAAAACTTAAAAGTTATGTTTTTCTGCCAGTTGGTCTTTGATGAACTTACTGATTCCATTCCCTCAAATATATTAGCATACTTTAACACAGAAGACCGGGTCACACTATGAGTTGATTATAAAGCAATATTCAGCAACAATACCTGTTTAAAATAAATTTAAAATACACAGCAAGTAATGATTTAGAAAATTAAAATGCAGAAGAAGAAGGAGGAAGGAAATGGAGAAACTGAACATAAGATTGTGGTAAAACTATAATTTCAAATATGACATGTGGCACTAGAATTGTTTTTAGCAAGTTTTAAAAGCATGCACCTGATTTCAAGAAGGGAAGGGGGCAGATAATACGTAATATCTTTGCTCAGTAATTTTAACTGCATTAAAAATATTTTATATGTTCCAGCACTGAAATTAATATTTCATATATACTGGTGCTTAAATATTCAAAAGCCACTGGAATTCAGAACTCTAAATGTTTTCCATCATAATACAATATAATATATTCCATCATATATATATATATATAATGTACAAAATAAATCTAAATTCACTAAGCTTTTTTCAAAATTCACTTTAAAAAAAAAAGGGAGAGAGAAGAGGATTCAGTTGTATAAGAATGCAGTTTGCACCCAAATTCAAGCTATGAATTTGAATTTTTTCTAGAACTTAATGAAATGATGGGTTCAGAATTTCACTAACAGCTGATGCTGCACTACAGGAAACACAGATACGCAAATGAGACAGCTTTTAGAAGTCAAAATGTCTACCATATAACATCAGTTTTTAGTACTGGTTTATACCAATAGACATTAATTATGAATGACTGCAGAGTTTGCTTGATAACACAGTACTGGTAAACTCACACAGTGCTGTATCCTTACCAGGTGCAACTGCTTCATTAACTGCAATTAAGCGATATGTAGAACTTGAAAAAATTTACAACTTGGCATTGAGAAAAGTTGTCGAAGATTCATAATAAATTTTGAAAAAGAAAATTCTTTTAAACACATGAAGTACATCTTTCATTACCCATAACTGTTATTCCCAATAGTGGAGACTTGCCTTGTCCAGGAAGACCAACCAGAAAAAGTATTTATACTATATTTATATCACTTCTTATTTTACTGTTTTTAAGGTACTTTATGATACTTCTAATATATTACCAGAGATAAACTCAACGTGAAATGATATGTCCGATAAATATTAAAAAGAAAATATTACCTCAAGATATTTTAATCATTTAATATGCATTTTACATATTCTTATATATGGAAAAAAAAAAAAAATTGGAAGAATTTATTATTATTTCTAGCAACCCTTTAAAAAATAATAAAGTCTGTCTCTAGAAAATATTTTCATTTTTCTTTGTCAAACCTTGCTTGAAAACATATTTAAGAACTCAACATAGATGTAAAATATTTCAGTTTAATGTGCCTTAATATTTCTTCATAGAATTTTACTCTTATTCAACCCATTTCATATGAGCCTCCATCCCATGCCTGGATATATGTTTTCTATGTCTAAAAACTTAATTTTTGTCAGCAGTATTAATTTTTTCAGTTAATGCTATTTGCAACAACATTGTTACATTAATATTAAAAAAATATTTCATGATCATTTTCCTTTTGTTTTTTATTCATGAAGTTAGAAGATAAAAGTGAAATTAAACCAAAAATAAAAATCTAAATTTAGATTTACTGCTTTTGGTTGGGTAAATGCTAAGAAGAGAAAATGTTCCTTAATTAAGGCAGTTTGTAGTGATTTAAAAGTTATCTATCTAGTTAAATATTATCTACTGCACTCAATAAGGTACAAATTCATATGTCTAACATTCCCGTGTTATTTTTACCGTTATCTGAAAAGAAGGAAATACTAGATCTGATGGTAAACATATTAGAACACAAACAAATTATTAAAAAAATTAATGATAATTTAATAAAATTTAATATTAGTTCTAGTATAGAAGTACTAACAGTGGTCACTCTGATTCTGACATAGTATGCTGTGTGATTTCATGGCATCCATCCATCAGCTAATTCTTTTTTGGACAGCCATGTGCAATTGGCAGGAAAACATACTCCCTAATAGAAGAGCACTACTTAAAAATTTAAACATATGAAGATGGTATGATGTTTACAAGAGCAAAATCTTGTATTTACAGAAATATTTTACCAAAAATATTTATGTTTTAAATATTCCATTTGATAACCCTTATTCTTCACTATCCCTCTACACTGTAATTTCCAAGACAATAAAACTTGTAAGTAGTGGAATAAATATTTTATCCCATTCCTCTTGAACAGCTTTCCACAGTCTTAAGAGGGTTATAGGTCAATGTTTGGACAGCCTGCTTTTTAAAAGCCCTGAAACATGAAAATCCATAGATGATACATCAGGAGACTTAGTAGGGATATGAGTGAAGGGTATGGCCTTGATACATATTCCTTGTTCCATTTTTTCATGGAAATGAACAGCGAATTTTGATGTGTGGTTGCTTGCTTTGCTTTGATGCAATTCTATTGATTAATGGCCCTGAGGATAAAGAAGAGGTATTTCATATTTAAAAAATTGGATATAAAATATGCTTCTGATAATATGTAGAGTTAACCTGAACAGTTTTCTGCATTCTCTTTAATTTTTATTTGTCGTTATGTCAAAACCCATAACCAGCAACAATCATAAATCCCTTAAAAACTTTCTTTAGATTCTTTGAACCATGTTCGAAGATTTTTCCCCCCCTTCTCTTTGATGATAATAAAGGGATCCCTTCTTATTGAGGTCATTTAAATATACCCAAGGGGCATCTATATTATGACAACATTTTCCCCTTTTTGCACGAATAATTGTTTCTCGTAGAGAATTCTGCAGGGCATTCTGCTTTCAGTGATGTGTCATGGAGAAAGATGATGCACTTTATGTTTTTCGCCTTTATAAGAATCAAGTCAACATTAATCAATTTGTTTACAATTTGAGCATTTTAATGATTATGCAACTATCCTTTGACTTCAAAGATTTTCTTTTAGCATTAAAGTTCATACCTTCGCAATATTCAAAACAATCTTCCCCCTCCCCAGATATGTATTTTTAAGAATTATTCTCCTTTAGGCCAAACTTTAATGTTCCCCCCTTTTCTTATTGACAATATTATCTCTCATTGCTTTAGATACCAAAAAATCACGGCTTTAATAGCATTTTTTAATAACAAAATACAAACAATCTTCTTTGGAAAGAGCACAAATGTAACCTTTTCTGTTCACTGCTTTTTAAAAGCATTATTTTGCATGAAAATAAAATTGTCAAATAGCAGATGATAACTTAAACTATCACAAATAAGCTGAAATTAAAAATAAAATTTCCAAGCTGGCAATTCATTTTATAGCAAAGCAAAGTTGTCTAAAAATTGTGCGAACAGCCTCTGTACAATGCTTCATATTTCATATACCGTATTTGATGGCATATAAGACGCACCCTTATTTAGAAGGTCACATACATGGGAAAAATTTTCAATAGTCCGCGTGACAGCGCGGTACCACAATAACTTAAAATGTGGTTTCTTTTAGTTCTCACGTTTCGTAAAAGCCAAATAAACAATCATTGAATGCAATTACCAAACATATTTTTATTAAGGAAAATTAAACAAATGGCAAGCTATTTTGAACATGATACGTCAATTTCAATATGAGTAAATGAATGAACGGCAAGCAATCAAACATAATACAAAATAAAGCAGAAAAACAACAAAAAACACAGATTCAATGGAAAACGTTGCCTATCATATGAAATTAAACTTTAATCACTTTCAATACCATAAAAATCCTTTTCACTATCATCATCATCGAAAACGAGAATATCGTCATCACTACTGTTTTCATCATCGCTAGTATCACCTTCTTCGAAAAATGCGTCGTCTTCTGTTCCGTCAAAAGCATTACTGATTCCGCACTTCTTAAAAGGGCTTAACAATTACTTCAGTCGGTACGTCCTCCCAAGATTTTTTTACCCACTCACACTCTTGGGAAATAGAGGGCAGCTTCATTCTACCTGAGGGTGTGAGGGCGTGATGTGGCTCTCCTATCCACTTGTTTCATCGTTCTCGCACTTTTTCCTTAAATGGCTTATTCACCGATACATCTAAAGACTGCAATTGGCTAGTTAGTCCACCAGGAATGACAGCTTTATTACAGGTTTTTAATTCTCTCACTTTATTCTTTATGGTTTCAGTTCTATGGGCACAAATTGATCCAAAACCAAAAGAGAGGTTTTCTTAAGAGTCCACCAGGTCGCCTCGCCCATACATTCTGTAACTACAGTTTCATTTGAGCTTCGTCCATCCAGCCTTTCAGATGAACATGAACAATACAGATGAACAATTTCAGATGAACATGAACATGTATAATAATGTTGGAAGTTTTTCTTTTGAATATGAGAAACAGCGGTAGTTTTGTGCCATCAGCATAACATATTAGAACTACCATATATCGGGTTTTTTCATGACCTGTGGTTTTTATGGTTATTGATTTAGACCCTTTAATACTCTTGTCTTTAATAGTCTTGTTGGATGGTACATCAAATGTG